AACAAAGTTGATGCTGATAATCAAACTGTTTGTTCTCCTTTTTCCCCCAAATTGGAATCGAAAAAAGAATCGATAAAGAATCGAATCGTTTCATAGAATCAAAAAGGGAATCGGAATCGTGAAAATCTTTTCAATTCCCAACCCTATCAGGGGTGCCAAAAAAAAGTTTAAAAAAACACTAATCAAATCATTGATCACGAGAGGCCAACGTCTATTTTCATAATAATAAAATGAAAAATAAAAAGTATGCAGGGAACCTTTTCTTTATGCATGCTGATTGCTGGGCATGGTTTGCCACGGTTGCTAGGTTGTTACTAGGGACTCTAAAGCACAAAGAGGAGACAGGTGCAGACCACACTGATCTGCTGCTGCACACCGACGTCAGGTGGCTGAGCCGTCGCAGATTCTTTGAAAGATTTTTGGAACTGTGTTGTTCTTTGATTCTATATAGAACAGACGAGGCGTGTAAACTTGTTCCACGCGCCCCATTGCATGTTGGGTATTGGAGTTCAAGAGCTTTCTGGCTCATAACATCACAGGAACTTTTGCCCGAAATTAAAGAAACAGTCAACAACCCATTCTGCTGTATGTTACATAGACATAGTTTGTACTTAGTATTTTCCTATTTTTATCTGTTTTCCAGTTGAATTTTAATCCATCTGCCAGTTTCTCTGCCAATGCCCAGTGAAGTTTATCATCCTGAAATAGTGGACTTCCCTTCTCCTTCTTCCTGCTTTGGTGTGATAGACTTTGACAGATTTTATTTTTCATTTTGTGTAAAACAAAAAGAAATTTAGTTTGGACAATTTCATCTTTTTTTAAAGTGCAGCCTTGAAAAGTAGTAAAAAAATAAAAAAAAATCTTGACAGCGCTTTTCTATAGTTTTGGTGAGTGAGTGAGTGAGTGAGTGAGTGAGTGAGTGAGTGAGTGAGTGAGTGAGTGAGTGAGTGAGTGAGTGAGTGAGTGAGTGNCAACTAAAAAGCAATGGCTTCTTTTTCCTTTAAACATTTTGCTAATAAGTGGCTGTTATACTTGATTTCCTTATCTAAATAGGAAAGCCATCTCTGCCCGAACTTGCTGGCTTTTTAAAAAATAGTATTAATATTTACACCAATTCAAAATGCACTTCATTTAAAGCATTTTACCAAGTAATTCATTTAAATCATACAAACTGATGATTTAAAAAACTTCTGTCTTAGCTTAAAAGCTAATCTAAGCTTATTCCATATTCTTCAAGACATTCCCCAAACATTAAATCAATCCCAAACTGTGATATTGCATAATTTAGTTTATTATGGATTTTAACCAATTTCATTCCTTTTCCTATGTGTAAATAGTAGCTGATTAGTTTAACTGAGTTTTACTAAATCAACCAAGAGGTTTAAATTGAAATATGTTTGATGTGGAGTTGAATGATTTTGCTGATAAATTCTTAAATTTCAGATAGATGTTATTGTAATATTTTTTCATGCAGTATGTGTTCAGTTAGCTTTTTGACCATAATTTGAGCTTGAATCAGACTTTCACATGTTGTACAAACACACGACCAGTTGGG